GTGCGACAAACGTTGACATGGCCCTCCAAAGCCCGTGCATCCGAACCAGACATCCTCATGATACGCGACGCCCGTAGCACCTTCGTCGATCCGAGCAGTTTTTCTTCGAGTCCGGCCCTCGGAGGCCGCCCCCGCGCCCGATAGGACCAGGAGGAGCGGTGTCTGGGGCGAGAGCGCGGTCCTGGGAAGGGGCCGGGTGGCCGGAGGCAGCGCACGGAAGCGAGCCTTGTCGGCGGAGGTCTCTGCCGAGGTCCTCGGATGCGCCCGCTCGATCTCCAGTGGTCCCCGGAAGCCTCGGGAGGCGTCCATGGGGTCCAACGGCATAACAAGAAAGAAGCATCTACGATCCTCGACCCTCGTGCGTCCTGTCGTGATCCTCAGACAATCTTGCAGGCCTCCTTCCTGTCTTCGGCTTCGGCCTTTCCGCCTCTTGTCGCTTCCCCGGCTGATCCTCCTCGTCCTCTTTTTCCTCCTCCTCCTCCTCCTCCTCCTCCCCTCCTCCTCCTCCTCCTCCTCCTCCTCCTCCTCCTCCTCCTTCGGTGAGGACAGAGCGAGGGAGGAAATGGAGAACTCCATGAAACAAAGGGGTCCTCAGGGCCTTAGTGGGCCCCAGAAAAGGCATGGCCGTTTTTTTCACCGTTTCCGAAAAGTGTCCCTTGAAAATGGAATCGGCAAAAAAAAGGCGACCGCAAACGGCAACGGAAACGGCTCCAGGATTGGAGCGGGAGCGGGAACCCGTAAAAGAACGGCGACGGAACCGGCAAAAAGACGGCGTCGGAACCGACAAAGAAACGGCAAAACGAAACCGGTAAAAAAACGGCCCTGTCGTTTCCAGGGCCCACTAAGCTCAGGGCGAGGGGGGGAAAGGTATTCTGATGGGTTTGGGTCGAGTATGTCTTTCTGTGGCCCTTCCAGGCCACACGACTGTCAAACAAATGCTCAAGAGCAGAAGCTGGTCCCTGGTGAAGCCCCCTTGTCCAGGACATGTTCCCCTCAAGACCCCTGACAATCGTGGAAAGGAGTTTTCGTGAGAGTACTGAGGGGACTACTGATGATAATATGGGCCGTTCGAGGGCAAAAAGCGCGCAGTCTAACGAAGGAGGCTAGCCAAAGCTGTCCTTCTCATCCCGTACGTTTCCAGCTCCATCCAGGTCTAAGGCTTCCTCTTCCTTCTCTTCCCCCCCCAGCACAGAGAGCTGGTATGTCACGCCGAGCACAGCTTTCACGTGGGGGAAGGGGCCCTGCACAAAACAGTTTCTTCGTTCCCAAAACAGTGTCCGCTGACGGGTAAGGGGAGCGTGAACTGATTCACTCGCAGCGCGTCGACCATAATCGCAGTTCGCGACCCGCAGTCGATGACAAAGGTTTGATGCTGTAGAAGCATACGCCGTGTTGCCAACCCGTGTTGCCAACCCGAGCAGATGTGGAGTAGCAAGAGGATATCTAGATCGGAGCAACCCCAGGATATCGTCTTGAAGTGGGGACTCCGGCTGTGATTTCCATCCGGATCATCCTTGATCGCAGGGCGCTGCCCACCCCGCCCTCGCCCCCGAGAGCAGTGCCGACTTCGCGAGTGTGTGCCCGCGCGCGCGCGCGTCCGCAGGGGCAGCCCGCCAAGTATCCCGTCACTGTCGGGACCTACATGGAGAGCCGGGTGAAGGACTCTCGCGAGGGGAACATCGCCACAAACTCAAAAACGCTGATTTCCACAGAGCTACGGGGTGATACTAGACATGGAGGGGAAGAGGAACACATATGAAATATGGACGACTTTGGTAGCAAGTCCGGGGAAGAGTCAACGAGATGGCATGGGAGGCCCCCATGAGTTGCCACAGAAGACGACTACGTGGGATCATGGAACTTGTGTCGATCTGTCTGTGTCCCCACTGGGTCCCTTGAGACCCAGAGGACGCCGGCGGCACACCTGCACCGATGTCTTGATGAGGCTGGGCAGGATCTCCAGCAGCGGCGAAGTGTCCTGACCCGCCTACGTCGGCGTGCAATCGATCCGATCATACGCTAAGAAGAAAACGACGGCGTAACCATAAACTTCCGACGGTCCGCGCGGACTTCTTGGGATCCAAGAAGTCCGCGTGGAGCGCCAGAAGTTTATGCTTATGATGTTTGTAAGTCGGGCATGCCCCTCTACAGGAGAAATGTTCCTAGTCTGAGGACGTTTCTTCTAGTTAGTCAACTAAAAAGATAGTTCCTAGTCTGCATGCCCCTCTAAAAAGATAGTCAACCTAGTCTGAGGACGTTTCTTCTATGTTTGAATATTTGCGACTTTCGTCCACAATCCCCCTGTAGGAGCACATGCCCGACCTAACCATTGGCCCATCACAGAGTGTTCTAGATACCTTTCTATGGTGGTTTGCGCGAGACGTTTTCGGCATCTGAGCGAGCCAAAAACAGGAGTCGTCTGCGCCGACATTGGCGCGTAAGCTGCTCGCGTAAGATCGCGCGTTAGCGCCCTCGTCTCCAATGTGGCGTGCCGCGCTGGCGGCCCGCGTAAGCTGCCGCGTAATGTCGCTGTGTCGTCTCGCGCAAGAGCCGCTTTTGATCGACGCGCACCTGTCTGGCTGAGACAGTCTTGGTTCAGGCAATCGGAGGAAAATCGGAGGCTGATAGACCTCCTACCCTCACACGTCGATTCAGGAATTGGCCGCTTTTTCGGTTCGCGAGAGGGCGTCGCGGCCGTCATTTTTGCCGGTCCAGGTCCGTCGGTTTCGGTCCTAGGCCGTTTTCACCAGAGGGAGGTTGACTAAAGGGAGGTTTGTCCACCGCCGACGTGTATGATGGGCTTGCTTTCCACAACCACCACCATAAGGTGGAGGGGGAGAGGGTCCTCCTCCTCCTCCTCCTCCTCCTCCTCCTCCTCCACCCCGACCTCCTCGTCCGCCTCCTCCTCCACCTCCTCCACCTCTTCCTCCTCGTCCTCATCTTGTTCCCCCTTTGAGAAAATATGGGAACATTTGTGGAGTGAGGGGGAGACAGAAATACAGAAAATATGGAAAGATATGGGGAATCCTGTTATTTGTGTGTACTTATTTGTGTGTCCCAGGGCCCCTTCAAAGATTTGTTTCTGTTCTCAGGTGGCTCTCTGGTTCCGGGAGCGTGCTGTGCACGGGGCGGTTGGTCCTTGCTCAAGGCTTGGTGCAGGCATGCCGCGGAAGCCCATGCCGCGCAGCACCCTGCTTGCCTCGGGGTGCCTCGGCATCGTTTTTAACCAATCCCCTCTCCTCATCCCCATCCCCATCCCCTTTTCCTCCTCCTCCCATCCCCATCCCTATCCCCATCCCCCTCCTAACTGTTTATATGTCTCGCATTGCACGAGTCCAGACACCTCAGATCCTAGAGGCCATGGCCTCACCCACCTGGTCTGCTCTAGGCCCGGACGCTGTCCGCAACGGTGGTCGCATCGCATTCCCTTCGAGACCCCCACCAAATAACCACCCCAGTTGGGGATACACCCCTCGAAACCCGAAGGGGACGACTTCTATCCCCATCTAGGGGGGTAAATCGGCCAGTGGGGCCCAGGCCACGCCGCTGGGGATGGGGATGGGTTAAACGATACTCAGTGCCCTGGGTTTCTTGGGTCGCGATGGTTTCGCCATGGAAGGCGTGACGTGCCCACCGCAAAGATCAATGGACCTCCTGGGGTCTCAGGGCTGGGTTTCTTGCGGCAGGGCTCTTGTGGTCGAGTTCCTGCTGTATTCTTTCGCAGGGATGAGAAGCGACCCCAACACAGCGAGGAGGTCCGCGATGCATCCCCGAGCTGGAGGTTGGGGCTGTCTCGAGCGAGAGGGGGGGCCGCACCACCAGGGAGACCCCCCTTGCTCTTCGCATCTCCTTGCCGAGGTGGTCTTGGTGTCGCCTTTCATTATTATTATACTTTGCTCTCGGGCCACAGCTCATCGCATGCGTCTGCCTGTGACAGGTCGTCGCAGCGTTCTTCGTGGACCGGCGATCGTCTGTCTCACGCTACTGTTCGAGTAGGTAGCCGACTACAGAATAGAACGTCTCGAATTTCGGGTAAATCAATTCAGTGGTCGATCCCCTGCTCGCATTGAGCTAGTCGCGGGGTGTTGAGGTTCAGTGGACTCGCGCTCCTCTTCCCCCCCCTTTCCGCCAACAGTATTTGGCGCAGACTCAGACCCCCGACGTCATGAAAGTGTCATGAGTTGGACCCCGAGCGGTCCGGACCCATTCCCCGGGACTGGGTTTTCATCCTGCGTCGTTTCTTGACGGCCCCGGGGCCTGGCAGGGGCCCCAAGAGGCCGGAGATATCGAAGAACCTCCCGTCGTGATTGTTGTTTCATGGCTCGAGGGGGCTCTGGGTACCTGACGCCCTCCCCTACGAGGAAGACATCTTCGGCATCTTCTCCTGGAACGCCATCACCTGCCAGGACCGGGAGGGAGAGGGAGAGGGAGAGGGAGGAGGAGGAGGAGGAGGAGGAGGAGGAGGAGGAGGAGGAGGAGGAGGAGGAGGAGGAGGAGGAGGAGAAGGAGGAGGAGGAGGAGGAGGAGGAGGAGGAGAGGAGGGGGAGGAGGAGGAGGAGGGGGAGGAGGAGGAGGAGGAGGAGGAGGAGGAGGAGGGGGAGGAGGAGGAGGAGGAGCAGGAGGAGTGCCTGGCGCGACGCGCCCGGCGGCCCGGCGGCCCGCGCGGCGGGGGGGGGAGGCGAGCGGCCGCTTTCCGTAGGGGGAGCTCGTGCCCTGGAGGCGGGCGAGCGGTCGGCACGGGCGGCCGTCGTGGGCGGCCTTCCCCGACGACGACGACGACGACGACGACGACGACGAGGACGACGAGGACGACGACGAGGACAACGACGAGGACGACGACGAGGACGACGACGACGACGACGACGACGACGACGACGACGACGACGACGACGACGACGACGACGACGACGACGACGACCCCACTCCAGTGGGCTTCCTCTCCTGCCGGGCGCCGCGAGGACAGCGACGAGCGCGCCAAGTGGTCGGCGGCGCGGCCCCACGTGCCGGGCCCAGCCGGGGGGTGGCCCAGGGCCCCTCGCGCTGCGGCAAGAGTCGTGACGGCATGCTTTCCGCTATCGTCGGCTTCTGGGGCCCCTGCTCAAACGACGCGACGATCGGGACAAATCGGATCGGGATAACTCGAAATCTCTGAGAATGGGCGGGTTTGGAGGATGTTTTGGGCGCCGCGGCCGCTCCAGAGCGTTCCGGAACGCTCTGAGAGCGCTCCGGAACGCTCTGGAGCGATTTATCCCGATCCTAGCCCTGTTTTACCTCTTGCCGCAGACGGGCTGACAGCGATGCAGGTAATCAAGCAGTGGCGAATCGTCCAGGCTCGCCCATAGCCCCACCAAGCAATGTCCTAAGAACCTTTTGTGGTTTCCACGAAATGTTCTTAGAACATTTCTGGCGGATTCTGTATTGTTGTATCACATTCGCTTTAATGTATAAGAACATTGTTTTTGTGTTTCGAACATTTTTGGGTTCCAAGAACATTTCGCGGTAGAACTACAGGAACGTCTGGAAGGCCGGTCCCTGCTCAATGTAACGGTGATGCAGGTTTCGATGGTGTGGGAACGCATGGCTCGCGCTTCGCCGTGTCGTGTTCGCTGGATTCATTCGCAGACTGAGGATGTCGGAACGTGTGGTTCGTGATCTCTTGGATTTTGGTTCCCAGCATCACCGCCAAGCAACATCGCCGTCAGCCCGCCCTTGGCTACCGGGCCTCGGGACCGTCGGACAACGATTCGGGACGAAAAGCCCGTCGCGGGAAAAAAGGGGCGGGGACTTCCGGGGACCGCATGTTGAAACAATGAGGACGATGCCGCATGTCTGGGTGGATCCCGCGGGCGAGCAGCGTGATTATCCAGATCCACGGCTTCGCGGGCTGAGGAGGAGGAGGAGGAGGAGGAGGAGGAGGAGGAGGAGGAGGGGCGAGCAGCGTGATTATCCAGATCCACGGCTTCGCGGGCCGGGCCCCTTCGGCCGCAGGCCCGCTGCTGCGGGCCATGTTTGGTCGCGAGCGCCCCTCGCGGAGCTCCTCCGGGCGACCGCGCCTTGGCGGCTTGGCGCCCCGGAGTCTACGCCCGCGAGGGCGCGGAGGCGGATGTGTCCGCCGCTCGTGATGCTCCCGCGGGCCCGGGTCGCGGAGCCTCCTGAATGCGGCCGTCCCCTGGCGGCGTTGACGTTAAGTCGGGGGTCTGTCCTCCTGCAGGGGCATTCTGGACGGAACATAAAGAATACTCCACAAATCCACCCTAGATGGGCAAACATAAGAACATCGTCCCCAGACTATGCTTGGGCTGTTTTTAGATACTCCTCCTGTAGACGACTTAACGTTGACGAGCGGGTGTCGTGGTGGTCAGCCTCCATCAGCCACAGGGGCATATGGCGGAAAAGGTCGGTGGCCGAACGTGTCAGAAGTTGTAGCCGAAAAATTGTGTGTGTGTGTGTCTGGAAGCGTGGCCGACATTTACCATCGCATTGTATCAGAACCAAGCAAGTCGGTCTTCCTCGGGCTCGTTCGGACAACATCTGGCGCCAGTTTCGTTCACGTTTGGTCGGATTTGCGGGCGTAGTTTTATGTCAAGCCTGTTCCTCTACAGGAGGAATATTCAAAAATAGTAAGACAATAATCTGGGGACGATTTTGTTGTCGCATGTTTCGATTATGTTTGGAGCATATTTAATTTTTCGTCGAAAATCGGCCTGTAGGGGGACATGCCCGACCTAAGCGTAGTTTCGTTTTTCGCACCCCCTCTGATCGAGACGAGGCCACGTGAAGGGTGAGGTGAGCGCTCATGTGCCGGGCAATGCCAAGGGGGGGTCACCGCATGGTGGGTTGCCGTTGCCCCTGGATGGAGCGCCATTTCTGTGCGGAAGGGGACCCCCCGCACATTCCAGAGGCCCCCGAGCCACTCGAAACGTCCAAGCACCTCCTCGAGCTTCGGCACTGGAACCTCGATCCTCCTGGGGGAACTGGTGAACTCCCTGGTGCCCTAGAGGTGGCCTCCCTTGGCACTGCCTGCAACTGTCATGGCGCCAACATCGCAGAGCGGATTTCCTTGGGAAAACGATAGGGTGGGCCCAGAGTGTCCTCGAGAATTTCGTTCCGGATTTCGAAGCGAATTCCGGGCGGATCTGTTTTGGCCAGGGCTGAAGACTGAAACACATCCGCGCGAAATTCACTTCGTTTTTCCCTCGCCGCCTCGGGCCAGCATCCACGCAGGAATCCGCTGCAGCACGCCTGCAAGGCCGGGGCCGTGACAAGCGGGGTGGGTGGGGACGTCCGGGGCCATGGCGCCTCTCCCGGCCCCTGCCCTGCGCCTGCGCGCGTGCCTCGGGCCGCGCGTTGGCCCTGGGAGGGGACGGCTCGTGATCGTCTTCTGATGTAGGAAGACGACGAGGAGGAGGAGGAGGAGGAGGAGGAGGAGGACGAGGAGGAGGAGGAGGAGGAGGAGGAGGAAGTTGTTTTAATCGTTTCCCTTCATTACTGCTGTGACGATGGGCGCGGGCCCCCTCCCCCCCCCTTTCCGCCCCCCCCCCACCCCCATGGGGTAGAGCTTGGCTCTGTTTGGCGCCTGTTCCGAGCAGGTGGCGTCTTCCCCCCCCCTAGGAGGCACCGTCGCAAACAGTCGTGCTAGGCAGAGGTCCGGAGTCGGATCCCCCCCTCCCCCCCCCTTCCGCCCAATGTCGAAACGCCGAGTAAGGGAACGTTAGTGGGATAGTGGTTGACTGTCTGCCTGCGCAGTTGCAAACTGCCCAGCCAGGCTCGACCACCATTTCGTAATCTGCACTGGTTGGCCAGATTTCCAGACGGTCGCCGCAGGCCCCCCGCCCCGCTGGCCACCATCTTGGATTGCGGAGTGGTGGTTCGGGATTCCGTGCTCGTGTTTTCATGGTTGTTGGCGCACGCCGCCTCAACCACCAGCGCCCCAGCCACCATTCCAGAAAGTTGAAACATCCCCGCAAGGAGAGAGGGACGGGGAAGCATGCAGACGACGACGAACGTGCCTCAGGCGGGAGGCCAGGGCTGGCGGGATGAAGCAGTCCTGCTCGCCCAAATGGGGCCCAAGTAGATGGGCTGGGGTCGGACCGACTTGCATCGGCGATGCATTTGAACTGCGGAGCGGTTTGGTTACAGATTCGACCATGGACCCCTTGTTCACGCGAAATATCTTGTTTTCACACCGATGACCGCCGAAGACCGCCGAAGACCGTGTCGGGCCGCCGTTCAGACTGCTGAAGATCGCCGAAAGACCGCCGGAAACCGCCGAAGACCGCCGAAAGACCGCCGAAGGCCGCCGAAAGACTGCCGAAAGACCGCCGAAGACCGCCGAAAAGCCGCCGAAGTCCGTGTCGGGCCCCAACGCCCGCGGCGAGGCGCGCGCCCGCTGGCGGTTTTCGGCGGTCTTCTGGCGGTTTTCAGAGGCCAGGATGCGTGGCGAGGGGTCCATGATCGAACGCGTGAGTTTGTAACCTACTTTTCTCCATCCCGACATCGCCGATGCGCCACAATGCGGTGCGATCTGCCGACCCCGTCTTCGCCGACCCTGCGCGGGCGGTCTCCACGCAGGCAGGCGGGCTGGCCTGACACAGCGCTCCCGGTTGGGCCCGTGCCGCCCCTGTCAAGGGGGCGGCACGGGCTAAGGCTTGCCTTTCCTCGCTGTGTGGAGCAGATAACGGCCAGTTGTGCTCTCCGTTGGTACTGCCAGTCTTGGCATTTGGGGGCCCTCGCCATGAGCCTCGGGACGAGACGCCCGCCCTGTGGAGCGGATCGACGGGTGCTGGCCGATGCTTGGCACCTGGGAGCCATCGCCAGGCCCCGGGACCGTCAAGAGACCGCTCGGGCGCTCGGGACGCGCAGCCAGTCCTGGGATCCAGCTCTCTGGGCACCCACCTCTATCGAAGGAGGAGGATGAGCAGGAGGAGGAGGAGGAGAAGGAGGAGGAGGAGGAGAAGGAGGAAGGGGAGGAGGAGGAGGAGGAGGAGGAGGAGGAGGAGGAGGAGGACGTCGGAAGCCTGTCGTCGTCTCTCTTCAGGGGGCCCTCCGAAAACGGCACACGGTGGGGGCGTTCATTAAGGAGTGTGCCTTGGAGGATTCCCTGACTGCTTCGCGAGAGCGACGGAGATATTCAGGGCCAGTCCACGGTTGGAGTTCCACCAGCTTCTAGACCCTGGGCTCCTTCTCCAAGAGGTCCGCGCGGGCCCCCTGTGCGGCGGCTCCGGCGCCGTCACGGCCGCGCTCCAGGCGGAGGGGAGGATCGGCGACTGCAATTGACGGGCCTGTTTTCCACCACCACCACCACCATAAGTTGGAGGGGGGAAGGATGTGGAGGAGGAGGAGGAGGAGGAAGAAGAAGAGGAGGAGGAGGACCCCCTCCTCCTCCTACTCATGGTGGTGGTGGTGGAAAACAAGCCCCCGAGCAATGGGGTGCGGATTTCGCCGGAGTGTGCTGCTTCACGATCTGCGTCGTCGCTGGGGCTTGGGGGTGTACCACGCTGCCCTCGTCGGGCCTCCTCGGGGCGCGGGGGAGAAACCTGTCGAGGTCCTCGCCCACCCCCCAGCCGTGCGCGTCGCGAGCCACGCCCTTTTTCAAGCCACACCCTTCGGAGTCGCCCACAGGAGGCGTGCGGAGGTCGGAGGCCTGCCAAGCGGTGCGGTGGCCGCACGGTCCCATGTTGGGGTCCGCGTTCGCGGCGCTCTGCTCTGTTCTCTGGTCCTCCTTCTCCTCCTCGTCTTGGTCTCCCACCCCTCTTCTGGCGGTGTATCCTGCCGGCTGCACTTGTGCACCAAGTCCCGGGCAGCTGCAATGTTGGTCTGCTGCCGTGCCGAGGGCCGCAATCCGTGGCTTCTCTGTTCCGCGCTGCCGCTCTTGAGTGGCTTCTCGGTGCGCCTTGGAGGGCGCCTCTTTGACCCCCGTTTGCGGTCTCTGCTTTGTCCACCTCCTCCTCCGCTTTCTGTTTCACGCTTCTCTGATGCGTATTGTGGTGATAAGCTCAGG